ACACAGGACCCAGCCTCCACCCTGCCCTCCAGCGCCACAGGCACCTCTCCTTCCCACACTTCCCTAAGGTTCCCCACAAGGTGGGAACTGCCACCAGGGGAGCAGCGGGGCAGCCCCTGAACGTCCCCCTGTCCTCTGACCTCCCAGTGAGCTAAGGCAGCCCAGCCCAGGCTCTGCCGTTGCTTCTATGCTAAGTCCTTCCTTGCGTCACTGTGCCCAGCTTTAATAGATGTCCCAGCTGAGTGTGCTTCGCTGTGGCCCAAACATTACTGCCTGCCGCATCACACTTCGTCTCTTAAATGAAATCTTTCCTTCAAGAAGACAAGAGCCGAGGTCTCGTGTTCTGGTTGGCAACAGGTAGACAGCGGAAGGCCATGTCCAAGTTGGATGGCCTACGCTTTGAGCTCGGACATGGCTGTGGGCCACAGCTCGCTCCCCCGACCAAACTGTGATTTCAGCAAGTTACCTAAACTGAATCTCCGTTTCCACATTTGCAAAATGCATTTAAATGGTATCTCCACATACCAAGAAATAAATGAACACCAAAGGAAAAGCTCTTACACAGTGCCGGGCACAGAGCAAAACAGAATCAGTGGTAGCGCAGCATCCTGAGGAAGAGTACGGCTTTCGCACCGACGACCTGAGTTCAAATCCTGACACTGCAAATTCTTACTTCACGACCTTCAGTGAGTTAGGTCCTTTCTCTGACTCAGCCTCCTCATCTCTGAAAACCACCTCATAAGGTTTTTGTAAAAATTCAAGGAAATAATGCCGGTAAAACACTGGGCCTGGGCAGATACGGATGAAATATGTAGTGAGTGGTGGCTTCTGTCACTGTGGCCATCATTATTGGAGTGGTGGTCCCCACTGTGGATGGCCCGCTTTGGGTGCTTGTTACATATTTATAAACATTAAAGACACACAGCAGGACTCCAGGCTGATGAAAGTTCACCGTCAAGAGTGTCGGCTCAATGTAATGAGGCAGGTGGAGGAAGAGAGAAAGGAGATGTTAGAACAGAAACGCCAGCACCAGAAAAGGCATTTCTGTCCTTAACAGGTGGCTGTGGGCTTTGGGGGCACAGAGTGCACTTTTGGGGAGGGAGGACATGTTGGGTCTAAGGGGTGAAACCAGGTGTGTGGGGAGGGTAATGGGAGAAAAATCAAGAAATAACCTAGAAGATCCTGCAAAAAGTATCACCCAACCCCTGTGCCCCGGGAGTGCCCAAGGGACTCCAGCTTGAGCTGCCTTCACTGTAGGCCGCCCTATAGCTCCACGTTCAAGGCCCCTGGCACTCCCCCTGATTATTCTGCCACCAGGAATCTCCCGCCAGCGTTTCCCACCAGGCCTCCCAGCATTAGCACCGGTGCCTTTCATTCTGACATCACGGATAACCGCTGGGGGGGTTTTCACACTATCCGATGTGTGCAAGAGGTCAACCCCCGAGATTCTGAGTCAGCAGCTCCACACTTCGGTCACTTTTACCCACTCTCCTAAATGGTTCTGCCAACTCCTCCAGAAACCCAGGAGGGATTTCTCTAGCTGCCGAAGCCCCACTGCGTTCCAAGATCACCTGTACTTGGCCAGCCTGGGTCGCCCCTGCGGCCTTGGCCTTGCCCCTGCTCCAGTGGGTGGAGGCTGCGTGCCTCCCCGGTGCTGTGGCAGGCACTAGTGCTTCAGCTTCTCGGGTTGTCTGACTTCAGTCTCTGTTTTTGAGCTATTTTGAGCTCAGTAATAATGTTTGCATACCTAATGGTCATATAAAATAGTTCTCGGAGCCACACTCCCCTGGTCCTATCTGGGAGAGTGCAGTCGGTTTTGCTCCCCCTCTGATGGAAAACCCAGTTTGCCTCCATTTGTACATCCCTTTCAATATAAAGAATGTGTCTACTGATTCTCTTTGGAGCTGGATATAACATTTGCCTGGTCCAGTCATCAGTTAATGCACAAAGTAAAATCTTTAGCACATGGTCATTTTTACGTCTGTGTGAGTCATGATTCTTCTCCTTGCAAAGTACCGTACAGGCGTCTTTGCTGCCCCCACACCGTAGCCTGTGGCTCATCACGATTGTTGGATGAAATGCACTGAGTAGCTTTAATGCTGCCTTTAGTGCCCCCCTTGAAAAATCACGGTGTAAGGAAGGAATAATAATTCTCCTTTCACTAGACCTTCTAAATTCTCCAGCTGGTTTAATAAAAACATGAGACAGCTTAACAAGAGAATAACCAGCTTACCACGTATATGTACATATGAGGGTTCCATAAGAATATGGGACTCGATGACAAATCTCTAGTTGACGCTTATAAACCATCTTGGGTGAAGGAGAAACGGGAGAGTGGCTTGGACTTCAATGAGGAGGCAGGCAAGGTACAGGCAGACGAGGAGGAGAGAACACCTGGGCCGCCTGGGCAACAAGGGGACCCTGGGGGCGGGGGGAGGCATCCGACTGGCCTCCGATTCTCTGTCTGGCTCACTGGGCTCATGTTATGCTCGGGTGGATTTGTCAAGTGAATATGCAAAGATAATCCCCCTTCCTGGGCCAGGCTGTTCCTATTTGAATTATTTTAGACAAGGATGAAGTAGGTAAAAGGCTCTCCCTGAGTCCTTTGTTTCTAAAACACAACCAGCTTAAAATAATCAATACCCCTCCCCCCAAAAAGGGCATAATTGGGGGTGGCAAACTCTGCTCCCCCTCAGGAGAATAAAATAAACCAACCAGCCTGGTGGATTCATTCCTCGTTATAGAGCCAAGAGAGGAAATAACCCAAAGGATTAAGTAACTTGCCCAACTCATAGAGAAAATGAGCCCTGGCCGGTGTAGCTCAGTGGATTGAACACGGGCCTGTGAAGCAAAGGGTCGCTGGTTCGGTTCCCAGTCAGGGCACATGCCTGGGTTGCAGGCCAGGTCCCCGGTAGGGGACACATGAGAGACAACCACACATTGATGTTTCTCTTCCATTCTTTCTCCTTCCCTGCCCCTCTCTTTAAAAGATAAATAAAATATAAAAAATGGGACGGAGGAGACTGCCATGAAGCTGGCGGTGCGGTGCAGTGAGGTGTGGGTTTGGACCCTACACACCACCAGGAAGAAAGGAAAATAACTGCGCATTCATCATGATAAAAATATACTTTTTAAGCATGAGATGAAAAGCACATATAATAAGTCTGAAAGATTTCCTGTACCTTTCTGACTGAAGAAAGTCACCTCTAGTGTGTGGATGGACGGGGGCCACACACAGAACCCAACGACCTCAGGGGAAGCCTGTGTGGTGAGACTTACAAACCCCAGACCAAAAATAACCCCCCTGAAGTGAAGACTTTCTAACTAAAAGCCAGGCAGAGCGGGCAGTCTAGTCCGAACTAGAATCTTCCCCAGCAAAGGTCAGTCTTAACCTTGACTGATCCTGTCTGGTGTCTTTCTGCATCTGAGATAGCAGACCTTCGGAATGTCAAGGTCTTTTTTCCGGACCTTCTCTGGGATGGCCACCACACCGGGGCGTGACCACAAGTCCTCTCGTTGTTATTGTTGATAATTGACTATGAACTATCCCAAATCCACAAATGGAGAAGAAGTTGCGTCTATTCCTTTTACTTCTCTAACCCCAGAGAGTTCGCCTCTTGGCCTTCTCCTGCCTCCCTAACCTGTCACCAGTGCATTTCACGTGCCACCTCCCACCTTCCCAGGACTCCGGTCTGTAAACCAAGTGCTGAAACTGCCCTTCTCGGGGCATTTTCTAAATCCATTTAAGATTCTGCTTCCTGGCAATTGTCGTCAGTTTGGCTCAAATAAACTCACACAAATTCTTACAGGTTTGGCCGTTTCTTACGGTTGACAGGTGCCTCCAGGGGTATGTACACCCCACGTCGGAGGCCTAAAACCTCTAGGTCCTCCCCCTTCCTCTTTCCTGTTGGCTCCTCCCCAGCCCAACAGGAGAGGACACCCAGGACCAGCCCCTGGCCGTCCAGGGGCCTCCTGGGTAAGGCATTCCGGGCCCTGTGCGTGGGCACGCCCAGCTCGTGCACTCAGGTTTCTTAGAGAGCAGTATCTTTCCCTCTCCTGACCCAGAAGCATTGATCCTAGGGCTGGACGAGGCCCCAGCTCACTGGTTGGAACTGGACAGCCCCTGGTTAGAATCCCAGCTCAAGTCACTTTCCTGAGATACAGCAAAGTGTAGTTGTCCCATAGCACCGAGGCTGCAGCCGCAAGGCCTTGGGACTGAGGCTTGACCTGTTATGCAGACGCCTTGGGCAAGTATTTAGCATCACAGGTAAGAAGGGAGATAAAAATGCTGTGGTGAGAACGAAAAGAATTAAGACATGCTTAATGCCTGGGAGAGGCCCTGGCACTCCGGCCACATTCAGTGACTGTATCATTTCTTCCCTAAGCTCTCCAAGGCTGAGTTTCCACAGCTACAAACTGGACACGGTGACAGCATCTCATGTATCACGGGCTCGGCCAGGGCCTGCCAAGACGGAAGGGCTGATAAATAATAGAAGTTACTATTTTATTGTTATTTAAGGAGCACCAGGACACCGTTTCACAGACGAGGAACCGGAGGTCATGGGCCTTCTACAGCGCCGCACTCCTCTGGGATTGTACTGGCAGCACTTGCTTCTCCGTGCCCTGCACTCTGCAGTTTACCAGGCACTTGCACACCTGCCACTCCAAAATCTCATGAGGGTGGACATCAGACTCAACTTCCCTTTGCAGGTGGGGGATCTGAGGCTTCAAGAACCCAAGGGACAGTCACTCCTCCTTAGCCAGTCTCTGTGGGGGGCCTCTCGACCTCGGGAAGAAAGGCAATGGAATGCGGCTGATTGCAAGCCAAGACCTTTATAAGCATAACGGCACCCCTGCCACACAGGCAGACTTCCTCTCCTCCGTGGGGGTGGGGGTGGGGGGACGGAGGACATGCACACTCAGAAATCAGGGTAAAGACCACATCCTGTGCTTTGTCCCCACCCAGGAAGTATCTTGGAGAGGCTGGGTGGGGCGAGGCAGGTGACACTACTGGGCCTCCCCAGAAAATCCTAGAACGATACAACGAGAAGAGCCACCCAGCCCCGACCCGTCCTTCCAGCTAGGTGCCCCGGACACATCTCTCATCCCCCTAGAGAAAAAGGAACTGAGGCCCAGGGGGCAGGTGGGCCCAGGGCACCCCGCTGGTTGGCGGTTGGGGCTGCTGGCCCAGGGCCCCTCCGGATGCCGCAGTGCAGCGCTTCCAGACCCTGGCGGCCACCCATCTCCGCAGAGCTCCCCCACCCCACCCCAGAAATCGGCCCCAAGAGGTCAGACCTCCGCCTTCCCAGGGGCAGCCCCCTCCTCTGCACACCCGCCACATGTTCTGCCCCAGCAACAGCTGCGGCCCTCGCCCAGCAACTGCAACTGTGTTCTGTATCCTAGCAGCCCGTCTTGGGAACAGGGGTGGAAGGCAAAGGAAGAACGGTGAGTGACCGGCACAGCTGCCTCTGCCGCCCCTGCCACCCAGCCCCACCCAACTCCCAGAATTCTAAATCTTACAACAGTTGAATCCTAGAATACCAGCGCTGGAAGTGGTGGCCAACTCAAGCAGACTCTGCTACAGATGGGTAGTAACTAAGGCCCAGAGAGCACAGGGGCTCGTTCAGGGACCGCCAGCACCTGGAACTATATAACCCAGCTTTCCACTGACCCCCCCAGGCCAGTACCCTCTGCATGGGGCAGGCCCTGAGGGCCAGAAGGGCAGAGTCCGTGGGAGCTGAAGCCGGGCAGGTCATTCACCCAGAAGAGGAAAGACCAAGAGGTCAGGATATCCCATCTGGGTCAATGGGGCCCATGATGTAAGGTGTGCTTTGGGCAGAGGAGGGGGAAGGGAGGGAAAGGGAGGACTTGGGGAAACCAAAGTCCTTTCACAAACCCGGGAGCCAAATGTCCAAATTTGGAATAGTCCTGGAAGACCCACCAGTCTTTAGAGACCAGGAGGAGGCGGGAGGAGGCAAAGGCTGCCTTCATCCTCCCAGTGGACCCCCCGCCCCTCCCCCAGTCAGGGCCTATACAAGTCTGTGATCAAGACTTCCTAAACCTGTAATCAATTATGCCTTGCAGCTGACAAGTAAATCAATGTTCACAGCCACTGTTTCCTCGGAGAGGGGCTGGGTCTATCAACTCAGGACTTGGAGATGGAAACTGAGGCTGCTAAGGAAAGATAGGGTTCAAGGTCACACTGCAAGTTGTTGCTGGAGCTGGGATTCTGTTCAAGGAACTTCACCACGGTCCTAGTGTTCTAGGGGTTATCTGAAGCCCCCAGGCTTTGGGAAGGCCTAAACTGGGCTTGGGGAGGGCAGGACGAAGGGTGGGGCCCTGCCTCCATTTCGGAGACCAGCTGGGGGCCTCCTTTAGAGGCAGGCAGGGTCCATGGGACCTTGAGGCGTGGGCAGCGGGTCCTCCCCGCAACGACATACTCAAGCCACTTCGTCTGACTCTTCACATCCCCGGTCTTTGAGCTCAGCCACACCCTTCCTACCAGTCTGATCCTTGGATACCCATCCAGCTGCCCCCAGCCCCGGGCCTTCAAAGTCTCTCCAGCGCCCTCCACCCACAAAGCAGGGCCTGCAGTTGTCGCTGCCTTAGCCCGGGAGCCCTCGGCCTCTGGACCACACCCTCCGCACAGTCCGTAGGTCTCTTCCCTTCTATCCCCTCCCCTCCCCCAGACAGGGCGCCATCCGCCTCCGATTCTTCGCCTGCAGCCCTTTAATTGCTGCACTGCACTCCCCCAGGCACACCCAGCCTGGACCCTCTCGGGTTACCGCGCCCTTGGGTTCCAGTTCCCTGCGCCCCACCGACCCGCTCCCGGGCGCCCCCTCCCCGTGTCCCGGCGGGAGGCAAGGGTCTGGGATGACTGGGCGTTTACTGATCTGCCCCGCGTCCTCGCAGCCCCGGCCCGGAGGTTCCCTAGAGCGATCCCCTCTTCGGCCTCAACCCACTCACCACGCAGCGAAGGCTTCCTGTCGCGGAGCGGCGGACGAACAGAAGGACGCGCAGACGGACGCGCGGACACGGAGCTCCTGGGTGGAAGCCCGTTAGCGGAGCAGCAGCGGCAACCGCGGCGTAGGGCGGGTCGTGAGCCCAGCCGTCGGCTCCCGGGATGGACACGTGGCGCGCGGGGGCCAATCGGGTCCGCCCCACCTCCCCTCCTCCAACTCCTCCCGACTCACTTTCCTTTGCTCCGGGAATCTTAGAATGTCACCAGCGCGGGTCCCCTCCTTGAGACCCTGCTGAGCTCAGACCTGGGACTTCAGACCTAGAGAGGGGGGTAGGATTTGTCCGAGATTACGTGGCCATTCAGGGATAGAAGTCAGGGCTCCCGACTTCTAGTTCTGGACACTTTCCCCCAAATTCCTGCTACTTGCCAAAGCTTTGTTGAGAAACAGAACATGGAGGCTTGACAAAAATGAGGCCGATTCGCTTGGTCGGATTCCACTCCGCCCTAGCGCATCAGATCTGCGGCGTTACTTATCCACTTCCCAGGAGAAAAGAGCCCAGAGAAGGCCTGTTCTTTGGCCCTTGTCACATAGCTAGTGAGGCTTGGAGTCGGGACTGGAAACTGAGCAAGGTGACTCCAGAGAGGTGCTTGTTCGTGCCGGCTCTGGATAGTGCATGGTCCCGAGGAAAGGGAGACAAAGAGACCCCCCCCCCCCCCACTGCAGAGCAATTCCCCCAGGGCTGTGGGGAAAACAATAGATTTTTTTTTTGAAACAATAAACTCTTTGAGAGTCTGGAGGAAACTGAGACTAATTATCCCCAGGGGATTTGTGAAGACTTCCTGGAGTTGGGTGACATTGCAGTGGAAGGTCAGTAGTACCTTTCATCCTTTGCCCCCTTAGAAATTCTGCTTCAGTGAAAAGACAGAAAGGTGGCAATTGTGGGCTGTCACCCAGCTGCAGAGTCCCCCTGGGCAAGACATTTAACTGCTCTGATTATCAAGTTCCTCATCTGAAACAGAAAGAAAACCAAAGGTTTTGCAGGGATTGCTCTCCATCTGCCACTATTTCACAGACCTCTCAGCCTCCCACAAGGAGACCTGGTTGCAAAGTCCCTTCATCTCTTCGTTTCCCAGCAAACACGGAGCACCTGTCGCATGCCGGACGGACGGACGCTGAGTTGGGAGACAGTAAGCAAATGGGAAGTGGGCCCCTGCCCTGCCCTCATGGAGCTTCCACGCTCACGGCAGACAGAAGGTTAGGGCATCGTCACGATGCATTTCGGCCTGTTGTAATCTGGAAATGACACAGTGAGGCGCTGGCACACAGCAGGTGGCCCAGTCTCACCTGCTCGCGAATGAGAGTGATGCTACATTGTCACCACAAAGATCAGTGGAATCTACTACGAAACTAAGAAGAAATTAAAATAATCACCTGAGGCCCTGGCCAGTGTGGCTCAGTTGGGCACCGCAGTTCCTGTGAAGTGGAAAGGTTGCCTGTTTGATCGCCAGTCAGGGTACATGCCTGGGTTGTGGTTCGGTCCCTGGTCAGAGCATGTATTGATGTTCCTTTTTCACTGATGTTTCCCTCTCTTCCCCTCTCTCTAAAAATAATAAATACAATCTTTAAGAAGTATAATCACTTTAAGATTAGGAGGGACCAGTTGCTGGGATGAGGGTGGGGATTTGTGGCTCTTGTGAGACTGTAACAGGGTGCAGCTAAGAGGGGGTCCCAAATAGGGATTTGGAATGGGGTCCAGAACTCAGGGTGTCCAGGAAATACTAGAAAGACATATAAGATGTCCTCACCCCTTCCCCCCCTCAGGTGTGAGTTGGGGGAAGGGGCAAATGGAGCAGGGCCATTGAGAGCTGTTTTGTACAGCAGTGGCTTTGCAGCTAACCTCTGGCACAGTCATTTAACATATCTATAACCTTTATCTGGTTTCATAGGTATGCTAAATAGCCTTGGCCATGCTTTGAGCCAGGGGGATGGAAGTGACTTCCACCAAAGATGTAACTGGAGGTCCCCCCGAGTTACAGTGCCTGAGTGAGAACTTGGAGAAGATTGGCTCCATGACATGGGGCCACACCTGCCCAGACTCACTATGGCAGCCCAGTAAAGCTGGAAGGATACGGGAGTGCTGGCAAGTGTAGCCAATTGTGGGAGGAGTCGGAAATGGGGCTGCAGAGGAGGATTGGCTCAGGGATTTAAACCCAGACGTGGCAGCCATTGAAGAGAGAGCCACGTGCAGCTTGGGTGGAGAGAACCACCACTCGGCTTTGGCAGAGTGATGACCCCCCTTCCTGCAGCTTTGCTGAGAAGAACCATGTGGTTTTGGCCAGAGTAGGGACCCCTGAAGCTTTGGTAGAAGAGAAACATGCAACTTTGGGGGGCTCCCTTTGGCTGTGTGGCCTGGGAAGCAGGAGAGACTTTGCCTGGAAGAAGGGTGAAAGAACTCCTGCCAGTGGGCCATGAGAAGGTGCCACATGGCTTTGGATTAATTAGAGATCCTGCCTGGATGCGACACAGATGATGGTGCCAGCGGCCTGAAACACGGACGTTTGCTTCTTTTCTGGAGTTACGGTACCCTGAATTAGGGCAGGGGGAGAAGGAAGCACTGTGGTCATCTGTGGGTATCCAAAAAGGACTTTGATATTTTAATGAAGATGTTAGGTCACTACTTTAAGTCTGTATAGCTTTAAATAAACCTTTCCTTTTCACAAATCTCTGGCATTGAGAGATGTCTTTCCTATCTGGCGGCAGACAATCGAGCCCAGTAGGGGGTCCTTTCGGTAATAGTATATTGTGACCCCCTTTGGCCCTGTATATGTATGTGTGGTTTCGGTAACAGTTTTTTGCATCCCTGGGTGTGCCAAGTATTGCCCCCTCCCCCGACCTGTGTTCTGTAACAAGACTTTTACTCTGAGACGTATGGGGAGCTGTTAGAGTGCTGAGCAGAGGAGGGACGTGACTTTTTTGTCTCTCTTTTTTTAAACCACATGACCTAAATGAAGCATTTTACAGTGACCATTTTGGTGGCATTTGGCACATTCCTATTGTTGTGCAGCCACCACCTCTATATGGTTCCACAATGTTGCCATCGCCTGAAAAGAAACCCCTTTAGGCAGCCGCTCCCCATCCCCCCTCCCCTCAGGCCCTGACAACCACCAGGCTGCCTCCCGCCTCTGGACTTACCTGTTCTGAGTGCATCGCGTACATGGAATCCAAGTATATGTGGCCCTTCGTGTCTGGCTTCTTTCACTTGGCAAAACCGTACTCGAGTTCTCCAGAGAAGCAGAACCAAGAGGGGGTTATAGAAATAGATACGAGAGGAGATTTATTATAGGAACTGGCCGAGAAGTCCCACAATCTGCCGTCTGCCTGCTGGAGAACCGGGAGAGCCACTGGTCTAATTAGGTCAGGATCTGAAGGCCTAGAACCTGGAGCTCCGAGGTCTAAGGGCAGGAAAACAAGGTCATCTCAGCTCAGTGAGCGAGAGAGAATGAGTGGTCCTTACTCTGTCTTTTGCCTCGTTCAGACCTTCAGTGGATTGGGTGAGAAGGGCGGCCGCCTTCGCCTAGTCTACTGAATCGAATGCTAACCTCTTAACCAAGCACGTGCTGAGCCTCGCAGACACACCCAGGAGTACTGTTTTTCTAGCGCTCTGAACATTCCTTAGCCCAGTCAAGTTGACAGGTAAAATCAACCATCACGATCATGTTTGAAGTTCATCGCCGTTGTAGCATTGGCCATTACTCTATTCTCTTTACAGCCGAATGGCGTTCCTCGGTGTGGATGGGCCGCGCGTTGCCTGTCCGCTCAGCAGCGGATGGGCCATTGTGGACAGTGCTGCTAGAAGTGTCTGTGTACAAATACTTGTTTGCGTACATGTTTTCAGCTCTTTTGTGTGCTTACTGAAGAGTGGAATTGCTAGTTCATATAGCGATTCTATAAGTTAACGTTTTGAGGAGTTGTTGAACTGTTTTCCAACACAGCTGCACCATTTTTATTTTTTTAAAAAGATTTTATTTCTTTATTTTTAGAGAGAGGGGAAGGGAGGAAGAGAGGGAGAGAAACATCAATGTGTGGTTGCCTCTCTTGCGCCCCATACTGGGGGCCTGGCCAGCAACCTAGGTATGTGCCCTGACTGGGAATGAAACCAGCAACACTTTGGTTCACAGGCCAACGGTCAATCCACTGAGCCACACCAGTCAGGGCATTGATTGATTGATTGATTGATTGTGGTTCCCCCAGTCCTGGAGCAGCCCCTCAGCGTCTGAAGAGCTCTCATGCTTCCCCAACCCCCTCTGTGCAGTCTCCATCTCTCTTTTGCGTGTTGTGAGGAAGCTGTCCAGCTGGCCCTCTGCTGTCTCCCAGGAAGAATGGCTCTGAACATAGGTGTGCAGGGCACGTGTTCTAGGGGAGGGGCGAGCTCAGCCTCCACCTGCGTGGCCATCGGGACCCAACACCAGCTGCACCCGTATTCCCACCAGCAACGTACAAGGCTTCTCTGTATCCTTTCCAACACTTGATATTTTTTTAGTTTTTAATGTTCTAATTGGTGGGAAAATGGTATTGCATTGTGTGTGTTTTTTTAAAAATGTTTTAAAATATTTTATTTACTTATTTTTAGATGGGGGGAAGGGACGAAGAAAGAGAGAAACATCAGTGTTGCCTCTCGTGTGCCCCCTGCCGGGGACCTGGCCCACAACCCGGGCATGTGCCCTGACTGGGAAGTGAACTGGCATTTTTGGCTTGCCTTACTCCAGTGACTAATGATGTTGAACATCTCTTCAACTCCTTGTGGGCCATTTGTATATCTTTGATGAAATGTCTACTCAAATCTTTGCCCATTTTTCAATTGCGTTGTCTTTTTGTTGTTGAGATGTAGGAGCTCTCTGTATACTCTGGAGATGACGCATGTGTTAAAGAGTCACTCAGACCCCTGTGCTAAGAATTCTGAATCACCACTGGGGGGCAAGAGTGGAAGCAGATCCGTTAGGCAGCTTTTGCGGCAACCTGGGCAACAGGTGCTGGCAGCCAGGCCAGAGTGGAATAAATATTGGAGGTGGTGAGAAATGCTCAGAGACCGGGTGTATTTGGAGGTGGAGTTACTGTGATTTCCTGAAGGACTGGCAATGAGGTGAGAAAGAAAGAGGAGTCCAGAATGACTTCAGGGATCTTGGCCTGAGCCACTGAAATGATGGGGTTACCGTGACCTGAGATGAGCAGAATTTCAGGAAGAGCCCTTTTGGGGGGGAATGGGGAAAAGGTCAGGAGGGCAGCTCTGGACAGTTCGTTATGATTCCTATCACACGTCCAGCAGGAGACGTCGCAGAGGCGGTTGACAGACAAATCTGGAGTTTGGAAAAGAGGCCAGTGCTGGAGACAGGGCTCTGGAAGTCCTAGGCATACAAGTGCTGCTCAAGGCCCGAGAAGGAGACGAGGTCATCCAAGGAGAAGAGAACCAAGAGACAGGCCACCCTGAGTCAGGGAGAAGAAAAGGATCCCACGAGGGTGGCTGGAGCAGCCGGCTGTGATGTGGAAGGAAACCCAGGGGCGGTGTCCGAATGCTTAATTTACAGTGCAGTTAACTGAAGTTCAGAGAGGTCCTGGCCTTTGCCCAAAGGCACTCCCGTGGGCGAGGCAGGACGGAGAGCCGGGTCCCCTTGATGGCGGGGCCCGGAGCCTTGTTCCTGAGCAGCAGAAAAAGGCTCACGTGCTGCTCATTCTCTCTGAGTCGGTCATCTCACTTCTGGGAACCAGTCCTAAGAAAATAATCTGAAATGCAGAGAAAGATTTGAGGCCCAACAATGTGTTTTTAACCACACACACACACAAAAAGAAACTGTCTAAACATCCAGGGGGTCGTAAAAATAGTAAGTAAGCCTATGTTATGTGGACACGCTAGCCCTTAGAAGCAGGCAAGCACGGGATAGAAGAAACACACTAAGCTGACTTCATCTTTCCGGCCCTGTCCCAAACCCCTTCCTCTGTAGCATGACTCTTCCAAAACTGTCTGTGAGGGAGGCAGTCTGATGTGGGCCAGAACAGTGGACTGTGATTCTGGACTTTCTCATCGAACCCGCTCTGGGCTTCACTTTCTGATTTAAGGGAGAAGTCACATCCCCTGGCTGCCCTCTGGGGAAGATGGAATAGTCAGATACTACCACCTGCTGGCAGGTTTCAGTTCTGCCAGCCTCTACCCCAGAGGGTGCTCACTGCTGGGCATTCCAGAAATGGATCTCGCTTTGGTAAGTTCTCTAGAGGAAGGGGCCTCAGGAACCACTGTTTTCGTGACCACCAGGAAGCCCCCTTCCTCCAAAAGCCCCCTTAAGGCCTGTCTTAGTGTCTGGCATTCCTCTGTAAGAGCTGAGGATTTCTCTTCTCTATGGGAGTGAACATCGGAGTCTAACCACTTGGTGTGATTATTTTCCGCTATGGGGTCTCAGCAACATGCGGACACTTGGTTTGGGGCAGGCAGGTCCCCAAGAGGGTGGAGACAAGGGGAAGCAGTGTACACATAAAAGGCTGAAAAACCACAGAACCACTTTTCTCATGGCTTTTATTGTTTGTTTTATTATTGTAAAAATAATTAGTAGCCATTATAGATAATTGTAAGGTCAAAAAATTTAAAGTCATCACCCTACAATCCAGAGATAGCCTACATTAACACATCATTCTGTTATTACATAACATTAGCAATAATATACCGACATTTATGGAATATTACATGCCATACACTTATACTTTTCTTTGCAGAACATTGAAACATTACAAACATTAATTTATCTTTTATAAACCTTAATTTATTGTGAACATCTTTTTATATGATTAAATGTTCTTAAATTTTTTAAAATAACTATTAAATTCCATTGTATGATTAGTAGCATAATTTGTCTAATTGCCTATTATTAAACATTCAAGTTGACTCTGATGTTTTCCAACATGGCTTTGAGATTGTTTTCTAAAGCTTGAAGGAGTCACAAATATTTTTGAGGCTAGTGATAAAAAATTGCTCAATCGCTCTCCATTGAGGGGGAACTCTTCCTCACAAGGTAGAAGAGACACCGTTGCACCTTTAGGATCATTCCGTATATTTCGTAAGTCACAGAACACATTTGCATCCATTATTCCTTCACAGTGGAGGCAGGCAGAGCAGACACTGTAGTCCCGTCTACAACATGTGGCCTCACTGGCTGGTGGGAACCCACTGGGATCCGGGGAGGCCTTGGACGTAGTCTGCGTCCTGGACGTAGCCTGATTAACAGCCGTTTGGTGCCTGGACTCAGACTGGACCTCAGGGTTCCTGACTCCATGCTGTCTTTGGATCCCAAAGGCAAATACTTCTTTTAGGTTTGACAGCACTTCTGGGTCTCAAGAAGTGTCACTTCTGGGTGTCACTTCTTGGACATGAGAGCATAGGGTGGACCTTCCAGGCAGCTCATCACCCCACAACAAAGTCAAGCCAAGTCAAGCCAAAGTCAAGCCAAAGGGTCAAGCCTTGACCCCTACAGGGTAAGTCGTAGAAAGGCTGGGGTCACTGTGAAAAGGGCAGGCCTGTGAGTCGCTGCAATTAGGAAACCAGCTGCTCAGTACAGAGCTTTATAGCACGGTCTTTAAATTAGAAAGCAAATGAGCAGAGAAAGTCCTGGGGTCTGCTTCCACCACATTCTAGCTGAGTAAGCCTTGCTCTGTTTTCCCCCAGAGATTGTTTTCTTAGT